ATGAATGTGGGTGACATAAGCATCTCTGTTTGCTGAAGAAGACATGCAAATGCAAATTCGAAGAGAGAAAAAGAAGTGAGTAGAATCATATGTGCCACTGCCACCGCCACCGCCACCGCCACCATTATCACCTCCAACTTTACTGAAAGAAAAAGAGGGTGAAGATGAAGTGAAGTCATCATTTTTTGTGTGCGTTCTTTCCTTTTGATCTTTCCAATTGTCTCTGCAAATAATTTATTCAAGAATCCCCTTTTCTCTGTAGATTTGGTCTCTTCATTTAATTCCTTGGTGATGAAGTTTCTGGGGGCTGTATTTATTATCTATAAAGTTTATTGGTGGCCAGGTGGGCAGGCCAACTAGGCCAACATTAGCATATAATAAGATAGAGGGAAAATTTGTATTAATGTGTGTTTGGGAATGCTTTTTACAATCAGATTCTGCTTTTGGATAGTTAAAAGCACTCCTTTTAAGTTTCAACTCAAATGTTTTGGGTGGAGAAGCATATTCTTTAAAAAGATAGGTGTTTAGTTTTATCCAAATGCTTTTGGCTTAAGTACTTCATTTTTAACTGTTTGCATATATCACCGTAAACACTTTCTTCTCAGTCTCTCATGCTACCCACTTTATTTAATTTCCTTAATTACACTCTAACACAATTTTTAAGTATGTATACGATAAATTCTTAGATTTTTAGTTTTGTGTCTAGATCCCCGACTTATGAGACCGTTTTTAAAGTTCAAAGATCTATTGGATACAAAATGAAAAGTCATAAATTTATTAGACGACTTTTAAGTTCAGAAACGTACCTATTTGACACTATATAAACATTTAGAAAAATAACTTAACTTTCATTGTTTGATCCTTATCCACACAATCTCCTTCTTTAAGAGTTTTCTTCTTAAATTTTTATTATTTTTTATTACAAAAAATAAGTATACTACAAGTAAAAATATGAATATCACAGCCTGAGATCAAGACACAAATGAAACAAATAGACTTGTCAAAATGAGGTAATCTAGTTGAAAATTGCTCTAAGTCAAGCACGTTAACTTTGGAGTTCCTACGATTCAATAACCAAAAAGGAAGGTTCACCTTATTAGCACAGGTAGTCACTATCAATTTTTTAAGCTTTTTTTTCATTCTTTCATAATCTCGTGATCTTTCTTATTCAGATGTGGTATCATTCATTCATGTAATCCACTCTACTCGGATGTCACAATCTCATATTATTTTTAGTACCTTACTGATGCCGTGAATAATAAATAAATAAAAAGAATATTCATACTCGCGAATTTTTTCTTGTAACGTAATTGCTTTGTTGTCAAAAAGTTGTGGCTTTGTCTACAGCCACACTATTTGGAGGAACAAGCGATTTAGAGCTGTCCAAAATAAGCTTTGGAGTTTGGACAAACAACCACACGGTATTTGTTAATTTGACCCAACTTTTTGTCACAGACGTCTGATAACTGTTTTTAATTGGTCCACGTCTTGCAATATGAACTGGAAAATGTGCCGTTACCCACGAAATCTTTTCTTCCTGCCGCAACTTTTCTTTTTGAAAGTGCCACCTCCCAACCCTATATTATTTTATTTCATCAAACATTTCACCCCATTTTTTTAATTTTAAATCAAGTTAATCAACAAGTGGATTATTAACAATACTGTTTGAGAGAAAATGACAATATCATGTTAAATTATATACTGTCGGATTATTATACTTTGATTTGTTGCAATTATCATGTGAAATTTTTTAATTATATGTAACGTATTTATATGGTAATAATTGTGTTTTTCTTTTACAAAGCATGTGCTTCCTATAATATTAGTCTTATAGAGAATCCAGAAATAAAGGGAAAAAAATCTTTGCAGATATAAGAGATCTAACTGCAAATTGGTTTCATTAATTATGTGTCTAAAATAAAAGATTTTAAATTCTGATAGTTGCAAAATTAATATCTCATTGATGGGTTGATTCTTTTTCTTGATAATATTACACTACAAATGAGAGAAGAAAAAATTAATACTAATTCCGAACCACTCGATTCAGATTTAGATTACGACATTACAAAGTTGTTTTATGCCATCGATATCAAATTAACAATACTCAAACTTATATTGCACTCTAGTACAGTTATAACTACTCTATAATATAAGAATTTGATTGAAAATAATTAAATCAAAATTTTATAAATAGTAGTAAGGACAAAATAAATAAGTTCACACCAATAATATATTTAACCTACGCTAAACTCGTGTAGCACACATAAAGAATAATTAATTATTATCTTAATGTAAAAGGGATATAAACCTTTATTGACTTCAAAATTTAAAGATTTCATACCATAATGTACGTATTTATGACAAGTAAGAAAAATCTGTGTAATTATCATGGAGAGCCCGTTAGTATTAAGTTTCTGACTAAATGTTAGAAGAGAATCTTAAAGATATCGGTGATCGTATTCAAAATGTTGTAAGAATGACTTATGATTTTTAATTTTGTTCATTCCGATTATAAATATTTTAAATTTTGTATGCAAACTTTAGTTGTATTAGTGGCTATTATAAAAAAAAAAAATGTATTAGCGGAATAAAGCTGAGATACTTTTTTATTAATTAAATGTTGAAAGAGAATTATGTATAATTTTAATATTTTTTACGTCATTGATTTTTCTTTTGGTGGTGGTTTTTCCCCCCTCAAATTTAAGGTTTAAATTCTTCTATTTCTTTAATTTATTGTTGTTAGTTTCTATTAATTCATATATATATATATATATATTATTTATTTATTTGTTCTTGCGGTTTTCTTAAACTAAAATGGCCTATATGTTGGGTTCGGGGCATTATTACGTGATGGTGACTAAATAAAATAGTTTTCCTTTTTCTTTTTTCTTTTTCTTTTTGTTGTCTTTATAACCCACTCATGCTCATATCATGGAATTTGAGATATGAACACTAATCAGAATTTTGGTCGCTTATGCAATGTTTATCCACAAAAATATTTGTTTTGTGGTTATGGCCAAATACCTACCTCCTTTTCATATGTTTCTTTAATTTAGCGGATTTTCTTACCTGTGTTTATATGATTCAACCAATATCTAAAAAAATACGTGAAATTCATCCACAACTATTAAAATTGAGTTATTTTAAGATATTTATTCAAGATTCAAATATTGAAACTCATCAATTTCGTTGTCCTTCTATTTGCAGTGGACAACAGAAAAGAAGGTTAAGATATTTATTCGAAATTGAAGTAAATGCCTTTGTATTAATGTCTTATAGGATCGGTCATATTTAATTTAAAAAAAAAAGATTTGCCATAAAAAATGGGAATGTGAAGGATTTGAGTGTGGTAATATATGAAAATAGAAGGACTATATTTAGTATGTCAAAATGAGATTTATAGCATATGATTTATGTTCTTTATTTTATATCTAAAATCTAATAATTTTTTGTTAACTTAAAAATTGTTTAACCATCAAAGTATCAATAACTTCTTAATAGGTACAAAATTCAAATACTCACCTCTACAATTATAATGCTATAATCAAGTAAGAAATAAAAAAAAAAAAGTAATCATACGAAGTTAAATTAAATCCATTAATAAGTTGTAATAGAATCCTAAATAAGGAAAAAAAAAAGTATAATTCCACCACGCTCATTATAGAGATTTGACGTATGAAAAAATTTGATTGGGGTTAGAAAGTGATTAAAAAAAGCAGAAATAATACTAATTTGAGAATAATGTCAATAATAATGGTAAATACTCTTTATTCATAATGAAATATTATTCCCATAAATAAAGGAGAATTAGAAAATGCACACTTATCCTCCAACATGGAAGCCACGTCATCTCTATCAGTATATTGAGCCATTCAAATGGCACAGCTCTATCTTCATTCATGAAGGCTAAGGTTTAAAACTTTAAACTCCCAATTCACATTATAATTTTTTTACAGTTACATTACAAATCACACAATGGTTTGAGTAGAGTTTCAAATCTATAACTCATTATAGAAAGGTATAGATGCTTAATTACTTTAACTAATTTTTTTTGGTCAAAGCCAACTATTAATCTTAAGAAAGAACAAAATAAAGACCAAAATAAATTTGACAATTGCACGCGTCAAAATTGAATTCAACCAACAAAATCTATCTAGACCTATCCAACCAAATATTTTTAATTTTATATTTTATCGAATCAAACAAGTGAACAACACATGTCTAAAGATGAAATTTAGTCAGTTTGATTTTTTATATAGAGCTGTAAATTCTAAATCAAACCCCATTTGTAATTACAATGTTGGAATTTGAAATAAGTGGTTGTTAAATTTTAGAATAAAAAATTATTTATCAAATTTTTTTAAAAGAATCACTTTTGAAGAAAGTGAATTAGTGGTGTGTAAAAATTAGATACCAAAAATGAAGTGAATATGAAGAACAAACCGGCCTGCCATGGATTCTCGAAGCAAAATAATTCAAAACGTGTAAAACAGGCCACAACGAGTGGAACTTGAAAATATATATATATTTTACTTTCGAGTTTCTAACTTTCGGCAAAAACCAAAAAATATTGGTTGATTTAATAAATATTTATATTATTTTAAAAGTTTCAATATTATCTTTTAACTTTTCATAAACATTTTAAACGAAAAAATTTGATTTTTCGACGAAATTTATATCGATTGACAATTAACCTATGAGTACGAAAAGACATAAAATACAAATATAAGTAATATTTTAAAAATGGGATCCTAACAAAATTAGGTAGGCAATAATTACCATGCTGTAACTTTTTGTTAAAAAAAAAATTAACTGCTTGAAACAAAAGGGGCGTAGATTTGAAAAAAGATGGAGATATTTCTTTTTTAACAATTTAACCCATTATTAAAAAGAAAAGAAAAGAAAAAAAGAAATAACAGTACAGCTAGAAACCATTCCCTTTTTTTCTATTTATTTTATATATCGAGAAACTGAAAGAAGAAAAAGGAAAAGGAAAATAAAAAAAAGGTGTGTATAAATAAGACTTCTCCAGTTCCCACCTCATCTCCTGGGTTGTTCCTTCGATCTCTGCTTCTCGTGATTTTGCGCTGCGCCTCTCTTCTTCCTCTGCTCTGCTTCTCAACGCCAACCGTTCGTTTCTCCTCTCTCCTCTCTCCTCTCTCATCTCTCATCCATTTTTTGTTGTTTCTCTTTCTATTCTAGATCCTCTCTCCTTCCCATTTCTTGCTCTGCATTTTCCCCCCTTCTCTCCGTCTTCCTTCTCGTCCGATTTCTCAAGCAGGGGAACGAACAACCATGAGGTTGAAGGAGGATTTGCCAAATTACGCCAACGAAGGGGGGGCTGAAATGGACCAATCCAGGTTTCCCCACCACAGGAACCTCGTTGTTGTTGGCTATGCTCTCACCTCCAAGAAGACCAAGAGCTTCATGAAACCCAAGCTCGAAAGATTAGCTAGGTACCAACCCCACCATCGCCTTTTCTTTTTTAACCCTAACTAATCGTTTTTATTATTTGGGTTTTTTGTTTTTGTTTCCCCGGAGGGAAGGGGCTGCCTGTTTTCCGACTGTTGATGAATATTCCTGGGCCGCTTACGTCCTTTTCGTTTGAGGGGGGAAAGAGGGAAAAATTAAAATAATCAACCCTTTTTTTTTTTTTTGTCTTCTGTGGAATATGAGGCTACAATTAAGATTGGGTTATGAAAATAAGACCAAATGAGCTCCATTACTCTAAGATTAATAAGTGATTGTGCTTAACCTTATAATTTGTTCCTGGGTAATGCAGGAATAAGGGGATTCTATTTGTTGCAATTGATCAGAACAGACCTCTGTCGGATCAGGGGCCGTTTGACATCGTCCTTCACAAGGTTAGTCTCTATTCCATCGAAGAATTTCCTCGAAAGAAATCTGATAATTTTGGTAGGAATACTATCTACGTCTTTGTCACAAAGTGGGGTTCATAATCCTTCTTCCACCAACATGTGGATTACTTGCATCCACTTATATATATATTTTTTTACGTTTTGTGGGTCCCAGTAGTTTGTACGATTGCTTATGGGTCTTCAAATCTTTCTGACAGCCCCTTTCTCTCTCTGTTTTTCTTACATACAGTTGTCTGGAAAAGAGTGGCGTCAGATTCTCGAGGTTGGTCCTCTATTGACTATTCAAATTTAGTTTCTGTTTGACTTCTTATTATTGTGTACAAATTACACTGGAACCTCCTGGAATGTAGTATCGTGTGCCTTACTTGTGTACTATGCGACATCTAATATCATATGGCTGTTGGAGTCGAATGATCACTGACATTGGCTAATCGGCTAACTAGTTTTGAATTATAAAGCTCATCCACATCTGGCGTAATGTGCAGACTGGTTCTCTTACGTATGAATCATGACTCAGTAGTTGAGGTTGAGGTTGAGGTCGAGGCCTTAAGGCTCCAACAAATGAGGATGTCTCCACTTCTTGCCACATGGCTGATTTCTTCAGGTTTTCTTGGAAATTTTTGCCAAAACAAAAAATGGCAACTTCTGATTTGCTTTAACTTTTATGGGTTCCACTCTCCACGGTATAAGGTTACCCATCTGAATATTAACATCAGATAGCTTCAGAGTTGCCTAACCGATTAATTTAAGATTTTTGTAGAACTTCCAATTATAGGATTAGGTTCTGTAAGTCACCTCCTCCTCCTTGTCGTTTATCTCAACTGTAAGCTTCCAGTAACTCACATGTTCTGGTCATATGATTTGTGAAAAAGGAAAAGATTGTGCCGGGTTATAGGTGCTGAACAATTCTCAGCTTCCTGAAAGTTTGAGGGTCTTCTAACTTCACCATCATTTTATTGGAAGATGCACGAGCTGTTGAACTTATCATCTGACAATTTAGTTGTGTCTGTTTGAAGAGTCTCATTTTGATACATCTCCAGATTTTCTCAATGAGTATAGCTAGGATGTCAAAAAGTTATTAAAATTTGTGGATCATGAATGTTATTTTTTTATTGATATCTCTAATTGTACTTTTTATGATTTATCCAAGTTTGACCGAAAATATGCAACCAGTTTAACTTGTCGTCTTCTATTTAATTATGCATGATGTGTTTGAAGGTCTCAAACTCATCCATTCCTAAATATTCACAAAGTATATAGCAAGGATGTCTAATGTCTGAAAATAACAAAAGTTTTAATTTTTATTCTATTTCTGAGTTATTGTGTTAACTTCAAATTCCTTTATTCCCATGATGAGTAACTAGAGACTTTTAAGCGATTGTGGGTTGTGAATGATGAATGTTATTTTAATTGATTCTGGTCAGATGATGGTTTGTGATTTAGCATTTAATTTTTTATATGTAGTTTGTATTTCTGGTCTACGTGAATCCATTCCTAGCATCTTTTGTTAATTACTACATATCATGTCTTTGGTAGATTCAGTATGTTATGTGTTTCAATCAAGTGAAACTACTTTTTTGATGTGTACCAAAGGAATGGAAGAATTATGTTGTTCTTTTGTTTTGCAGTAGCCATAAATTCATCTTTCTTGTGTTCTTGCATCCCGGCCTTTTTGGTGCCCATTAGACCATGATGTACTAAATTTCTGACATATTTCCTAACTCATAGACTCTAATTATTTTCTCTTACCCTCTTTGCATATGTTGTAGGAATATAGGCAAGCACATCCAGAAGTGACTGTTTTAGATCCTCCGGATGCGATACAGCATTTACACAATCGCCAGTCTATGCTTCAGGCAGTTGCTGACATGGAATTATCTGACTCCTATGGTAATTATTGAGAATATGTTTCTTGAGTCTCATATATATATGGGATATTACTCTCTGGAATGTACTGAAGGAAAATGGACTTTTTTTTGCTTCACAGGCAGAGTAGATGTTCCTAAACAATTAGTCATAATGAAAGATGCATCTTCCATTTCTGATGCAGTGGTGAATGACGGGCTAAAACTTCCTCTTGGTATGTATATCTACATGATAATGAACCTTATAGCTGACACCTTTTAGAAAATGTAAAGTGATCTCTGTTAGATATACTTTTATCTATTCTTCGATAGGAGTGGTTTACTACAGGCCGATGTATACTTCTTTCGGCTATGAAGAAATGTCATAAAGTGTCTAAAAAACTTTATTCTTATTTTTAATGCTCTCCAAGACTTGTTGTAACTAGTCAAAAATATATCCTGCGATTGTAACTCTTATTTACGCTTTATCCTTACATTTTTTCTTATATTGGTATCAGTTGCAAAACCATTGGTTGCTGATGGAAGTGAAAAGTCCCATGAATTATCTTTAGCTTATGACAATTACTCCCTCAAAAAGCTCGAGCCTCCTCTTGTCCTCCAGGAATTTGTCAACCATGGTGAGTAATATTAACCTTTATTCCCATCATTCCATGTTACAAACTTACATCCATAGTTTTGAGTCATGTAAATTTTATTTCTGAATTGCTATTACTCATGGTGCTAGGAGGTGTCATGTTTAAGGTTTTCATCGTTGGTGAAGCTATAAAGGTGGTCAGACGTTTTTCTTTACCAAATGTCAGCATGTGGGAGGTCTTGAAAAATGCTGGTATTTATCGTTTTCCAAGAGTTTCTCATGCTGCGGCATCTGCTGAAGATGCCGATCTGGATCCTTGTATTGCTGGTAAGTTATCAAATTTGAAGAATCGTCCTTTAACACCTTTGATCTGTTTTTCTTCTTCTCCCTTTTATTTCAAGAGATCAGGATCAGTTACTGTGTTCATGGTAAGTGTATTATGTGTGTGATAGAATACTTTAAAGGAAAGGTTTAAGGTGTGAACCCTAATCAATATCCAACGTTGGGACGCAAAATATCTTTTTGTTGGGAAAATCGCAATTTCTTAGTGTGACCTTTAACTTGGTGTTCACTTTCTCCTGTAGAACTTCCTCCACGACCTCTGTTAGAGAGACTAGCAAAGGAACTCAGGCGTAGACTGGTAGGCTTGCCCATTTTCCTCATCTTTCTTGTGGCAAATCATGTGCTGGGAAAAATAGATTGTGCTCATATGGTCCTGTTATCTCTGTTCTGTTCAGGGGCTTCGTTTATTCAACCTGGATATCATTCGAGAGTATGGGACTAGAGATCAGTTCTATGTCATCGATATCAACTACTTCCCTGGTATGTGATTATCTTTTATGAACATGAAATCAATTTTTCGTCAATCAGAATCCAAGTATTGTGCAGTTTTGCTATTCTGTCGCCCCCATAATTCTGCTTGTGATTTTAAAACTGGTTGTCATTTGTATAGGGTATGGGAAAATGCCGGAATATGAGCACATATTCACAGACTTCCTGTTGGGCCTGGTGCAGAGCAAGTACAAGAAGAGAACATCTTACTAGACAATTCTTTGATCCTCAAACGGTCACGGTCAGTACTCTCCAGAAAATATCAAACCTCTCGAATAAGCGCACAAGGGCAAGGCTTCCAAGCAGGTGCTTTACTTCTGGCAACTCATACAATCTTACTTGGCCAAGGGCGGCGGGGGAGAAGCCAAGTATAGGTGCGGTTTCGTATGAAATTGACTACCTGATTCTGTTCTTTGGTTTCTAGCCATTATCTAATGTTATTCTCGATCACAAAGTTGACGAGTTTGCGGTTGGAAGGTGTAAATATGCCTTTTTAACTTTGCATCAATTAGCCCAAAATCTGAACTAATTTTCTCTCCATCCCCTGCTGCTTCTGTTGGGAGTTACTAGAATGACTGTAAATATTTCCAAGGTAGAAAAGGGAAGTGTTAAAGGGTTGAATGTAAATTTTGTTTTAGAGGAATTAATTAACGTTATAACAGCTTTCTTCCTTCAAGGGTTATCGAAATATTTCAAATAGAAGATTCTACCCCATTTTCCTTCAATGCTCAATCGTTAAACTTAAGGTTCAGCCAAATGAATAAGACCCAACAGAGATCATGGAACTTTGTATTAACAGGTGATTTACATGAGCTTCTAGTTATACTGATGAACTCATGGCCAAGGCCAACCCAATTTCAAAGATCATCCCTTTGCTTGCTTCTCTGTGTTAAACTGATCAAACAAAGATCAAAACTCACTTTTTAATTATGATTCAAACACAAGGTGATCAAAATTACCAAGCTAGTAAATTGTAGAAGTTACTGATTGGGTTTGTTGAATATTTTTCCAGATCTAGAAATCTTGTAGTATACGAAAACCAGAACTGTCTGAAATCTTACCTGACACAACACTTCCTCGTTTTTCTTTACAATCCTCTCTCTCTCTCCCCCACTCCCTCTCTGTCATCATAACTCTCTCTCTTCTGAACTTTCAAAATCTCATTACCATTTACCCCATTTCCCTTTACAATTACCAAATCTCTGCAATTTTCCTCAAGCTGACGTCCCCTTTCTTACTGTCTTGGAAAACACAGAAATTAAAGCATTCCCAACAAAAAGTTCCCCAAAATACAGCGACAGGGAAGGGAGGTAGAAACTATGATTGGACAAGATGGTCATTTCCGGCTTTTGATCTGATCTTTATACAAGTTGGTGTTTTTATTCAAGAAAATTTTCAGAGAAGAAAGAAGGAACAAAAAAAATCATGGGTTGAAGATGAAGTTCCCACACTTGCATTTCCAGCTTATGGGTTTGTAATTAGAGGTCTCATCTTCACTAGAGAGAGCCATATCCTTGTTTGAAGCTCCTGCTGATGTTGCCGCTGCAGCAGGGAAATGGCTGCTTCTTTTTTTCCTTTGATTCTGTTGTGAGTCATGCAGTGCCACTGGTACTTGAATTGCCTCACAATGTCCGCCGCATTCCCTGCACCTTCTCCGGCAGCTCGGCGGCCGTGACCCTATTTGACTCCTAATCATCCCCACTTTCTCCGGCAGCTCCGGCCAGCTGCCTGCTGCCTCCACCTTCCTGCCCTCCATTAATGGAGTTGGAATTCCTCTGCCTGCATCATTCCAAGAACATGCAACTGATGAGAGTCAACAATCTATACTGGTTTTTCCCTCTCCAAATCCTATACCCTTAACTGGGAGAGATGTAATGTAATAGAATAAACAAAAGAAATTGAATGGCTTACCTTCAGCCATGGATATGACATCAACAAAGATGGAAACAGAGAGGAGGAGCAAGGAAATTGAAATGTGTTGTTTGTTTCTGTGCCAATTTTGAAGGCTGCCCATCTTTTCAGAGACTTGAAAAGGTAGAAAGAAGAGGAGTTCAAAGGTTAAAGAGTAAAGGTAAGTATGGAAGAAGAAGAAAAAGAAGAAGAAGAAGAAGTTGTTTAAATAAGGGGAAGATTTAAGAGAGAAGAATTTGTAGATTGAATTGGAAGGGTGGGGAGGGGGAGAATTTGGGTGAAGAGTGACAGAGAAAAAGTGTAGCAGAAAAATTGAAACTGTGAATCCTGAATATTATAAGTGTACCAAAAGAAAAGGGTATCAGCTGCAGTCAGCAGAGATTGAGTGCCCACTCTATAATTCAAAATCGACCCATCGTTCTTCTTCTTACCTCTTTCTCTCTCTCTGTAGTTCTCTTTTATGGAGGATGGAAGTTAAAAGCAAGCGAGTACAAGCAATAATCCAAAGAAGAAAGGGGAAGGACATCACCCTCGTTTAACGAGCCAACGTTCTGTTCTTTTACACGAGAAAGAAAATGAACTGACTCTACTGTTCCATTGCAGATAATTCAGAAGAGGGGGAAAAAAAGGCCAAAATTTACATTTTTGGAGAGTGGTGAAGAATATAAATCTCAAATCTCCAGCTGGGTCTCAATGCCTTTTCGTTTTCCTTCATTTTGTCTCCCATTCCCATTTTTCTTTTCTTTTTTAGTGCATAGAATCTTGGGCAGTTCCACTTTTACACGCCAAATTATTTGGTCCCTCTCTCTTTCATTTTGTGAAAACAGTTTTAGATGATATCAGTTTCTCTTTTTTTTCTTTTTAGTTTGCTTTTTCCTTATACTTTGATTGATCATTGGTGATTATAGAGGAATCATTGGGATGAAAGTTTTGGTTGAGACGTAAACTCTTTTCTGAAGGTTCTGAACATGGCTTTGGCTGCAATGGAATGGAAAGCGACTTCTCTGCAATGGCCAAACTTCATTAGATGCCATTGGAGCCTCTTTTTCTTTCTTCTCAGCTCGTTAATGGCCTAATCATTTATCCACTTCCACAAACAACCTTGTTTAAGCCATGAATCTCTCTTGTGCACTTGTTTGTTCCTCAAAACTTGTCTGCCACTTCATATTTAATGAGAAGCTCTCTTTGTCTTAGGATTAACCTTTTGGTTGATTAGTGAATCATGAAGCTGGGAATGTTTTTTTCTTTCCTCTTGAAATTGGATCATGATGTAAAGGTAAAAAGGAGCTTTCAAATGCAGCAGACGAAACGTGCAGATTTGGGACTCGAAAAATGAACTCTTTTTCAGACAGTAAAAAAACAAAATTGAAAGAGATGTTTTCTTTTCATCTGTCTTAATCTCTGGAATTACATGCACACACTGCTTTCCCTGAAATCTGCATCAGAGTATATAATGGAACCTCTGTGCCATTCTTCCTCAATCCACAGGCTCTATTTTCCAACAATTGGGTTTTTTTTTTTTTCTCTCCTCATTTTGTTTTAAAGATGTTTTTTAAGGAAGGTGGTTAACTGATTTGTAAAAAATAAGGTACTTAATCTACTTTGGAGACTCCTGTGTTCTTTGAAGTGAAGACACTTGGGGCTAATATGTATGTGTCTAATACATATTGGATGATTGTCGTGCGGGTTTTTAGTGAATTGGAATTAGGAACCTTTTGATAATATTACTGTGTTCGTTTGATTTCAACTATAAGGTTTATGTTATAAATAAATTGCCTTGAGATTTGAGTTCTTGAGACAAATAACACGTTTCTTATCTCAATAGTTGAATACTCCACAAGTTGTGATGATTAATTCCACTTAAATGTTTTTGACATGCAACTCAAAGAGAGATGAAATTGCAAAGGTCCAAAAATATGTTGGCTAACTTAAAAAGGAAAAACTAAGAGGCTATATTCTTTTTTAGGAAAGAATAGACTTTTATTAAGAAGAAATAAGAACCTGATTCACCCCAATGACCAGCCAATCAAGGATACAAGAAAACCAACATGCACTTTCCTCTAATTCGAAAGCCCTGCGAGCAAGATAGTGGACACAAAAACCGATATTTGTCAAACATTCTAATGACAATATTTTAGATAGCCCTAGCCCTCCCAACTAAAGGTGTCTTTGGGAGTGACTGTATAATTAGTGATTTTGAAATCAGTTTAAAGTGACTTTAAGTTTTTCTGAAATCAATTTTTTAATTTACTAAATATGATCAATGGATAGGGACGTGATTTTGACAATGACAAAAGTAATTTTGACCATGCCAAAATCATTCCCAAACATATCTTAAATCCTAGATGGCCGCATTAAAAACTATAGCAAAAGATAGAAATACCCCTAATATAAGTTCAAGAAAGGGTAAAATTAGGAAGCAACAAAATTACATAAAAAAACTCTTAAATAAAGATGTATTATAATTTGAAGTGTCCTCAAGTCATATTACATCGAGTGTTGAATACTAGTTAAGTACTGGTGGTACTTGTTAAGAATTACAGTCGAGTAAATTGTACAAATCAAGGTTTTACCGTACTGTAATTAGTCTAAGGAGCATAAACACTTTAATTACTTAATTAATCACTTGTTTGCCATAATAGACATGTGTCAAATACCTATTAGTCAAATAGACCATGTGTATTGGATACTTGTTTAATACACGTTTTTTTCTAATTTATTACTATTATTATTTTGAGATAAACCATGGACGCTTGTGTTGAGAAAGATTGTCCAAAAATTTGTTAATCAAAACATTTTTTTACTAAAACTGTTATTTTATTTTGGTTATTGAAGTCTAATATTGTTCCATATTGATCCTTCTACTTTTAAAATATTATTTTGAATATTCGTCTCTAGGATTTTAGGATGTCTTTATTTTAGTTTTTAACATTTTTCAGAAGTATCTGCTTTGGTATTTGTTGTTATTTTACCATCTAATATATATATATAAAGAGGACTATGGTGAGAAAGAAGCAAGTTTAATTGCAACCTCCCTCCTCACCAGTTACCATCGTTGATGGCCTCGCTATTCTCCCCTTGTCGTTGTGCTTAATCCATCAAGAACGAATAATGATGAAAGAATGAACAAAGGATCTAAAATCTTCATTCTTATATATGGAAGTTTCGCACTGTAAATATCTACACAAATTTCAAATGAAGTTGTTTTAGATATGAGAATGAACGAAAGTTCATATTTCGTTGTTCATTCTCTTACTTTGATAGATTGGTAATGGTGACAACGATTACTTGCCTGAAGGGAGGTATTAGTAACGATAACGATTTGTTGAGATAGGACAACCCATTTTCTAATCATCAACAAAATAATATTAAAAATAATATGTTTCGTCGTACAAACGCGACTTAACTACCTATCATCTTTCTTGTTAGTTATCTAAGAGTCAAATAAGTTCATAAACAATTTCAAAATCGTCCTCCAAATCTCGTAATCAAAGTGTGCATTTTGAAAACCAAAAGACCAAACAAACGTTAAATGTAATACTCAAAACCAAAATATATATATATATATATATATATATATATATTCTCATATTTTCTATGAATACCAAAATGCTAACAAAATAATAAAATAAATATATCGACAACACATGAACAAATACAAGTATCATAACAACTATTTACAACTCATTTAGGATATGCCAACTTTTTCTTCTTAAGCCCAAACAATTTCTACGAACATATAGAATATCTGCAGTTGTTGTATTTTTAGTACATATTTGCAATTGTTTATGATTTTTCGTTAACATTGATATATTTTATGGTCGTAAATCTAAGAGTTCCATATTTTCAGCAAATATTAATATTTTGGTTAAATTCTTCCACGAGTTTTTAATAAATTTTTAAACTTTTGTTATATTGTCAATCCACCTAAAAAAAATTATCAATAATTCCTTAAACTTAGTAGTTTAAATTTTCAGGTTTCTAATATATTACCTACTCTTTAAAATTTATAAACTTATTTAACTTTTTTTAAATATAAAAAGATTAATTAGATGCAAAATTAAAAGTTGTTTTAGAGTTCAAACAACTACTAAACATAAAAAGTTTATTAATCTATTCTACATTATCTCTTAAAATTTAGAGACATATTAGACACAAACTCGAAATTTCGAAGATTAAACTTGTAAACTAACTCAACATAATTCTATCTTCATGCCCATTCGAGCAAGGTTTAGCAAATAAAACTCGAACTTCATGTAAACTTGAACATAGTTTAGTAGACAAAATTCCACTTTCATGGGTAGTTTAATGGATAAGATACATGGTAGCAAGCATTCGATCCCCAATTCTTATCCATTAATATTCTCAAACTTACATAAAGTTTTGTATTAAAAAAAAAAACTTAAAAGAAAAAAAGTCAAACAAAAAACAACTGAGTCAGGCCTCATTTGGGAATTGGGATTCAACTGAGACCCGGACCCGATCCGGGAAAAGAACCCCTTCGAACTGGCTGATATTTTTGAAGGCGATATTTTTGAATTGCTTGGTCTGGTTGAGGTGCGAAGAAGAGAAAAACTTGTTGAATTTTTTCCCCCATTTTATTTCTTTTCCGAACTCTCAAAAAGGGGATTAAGAATTGGTGGTAGAGAGTTTGTAGTTTCGTCGTCCACATTTTCACTCATCAGATTGCATGAGTAATTACTTCTTCACCACCCAGCTTCCGCCCCTCCCTGGCTCCGATTTTCACGATGGGAACAAGTTTCAGGCCAAATCTCAAGTGGGCTTTCCAAATGCAGACTCATTCCCGCAACTGCTCCCCTTCCAAGTTTTATCCACATGCCTGTAAGTTAGCTATTACTAAGATGCCCAAATTGAGAACAATGTCGATTTGATATCTGGGTTTATGATTTTTTTTTTGTGAAATGTTTGTCGATTGATATCTGGGTTTATGATTTTTTTGTGAAATTTTTGATGTATTAGTTTGGAGCTTGTTTCTCTTGACGTGTGATGATGCAGTTCAGCAAGCTCTCAATTATTTTCAGCTTACGCTGTTCTTCTACTTGTTATCAATAGTGAGACTTTTTTTTTTCTTATTGCTCTGTGATCATCTAAATCATTTGAAGAATAAAATTTTCGGGGCTTTCTCGGAAATTTTGTATAGGAGATGGTGAACTTAACCCACTAAAAGTTTACTCCCGAACAATTACATATTTCTGACTCTGAGACACCATAGGTGCACATAATCAGAGTATGTCTTGTCACATAGATGAATAACGGTCTCTGTGGAGATTTATAAAGTAACACTTTCACGAATTTAAACTTGTTTTATATATTTTGGGATTGGTAGGTCTGAAAGTTTTCCATGGGAACTACTGACTGCAACTGAATCTTTTTACGGCTGATTAGTCTTTGATAACTTCGTTTGTCTATCAATTAAGTTGATCTTGGACCTGTCTTTAATTTCTTTCTTCCTGCTTGGATAACCAATGCTTGGATGCGAGTGGGAAAGGGCCTCATTACTTCACATATTTTAATTAAATCATTCTTTAAGGTTGTATTATGATTATTGGTGTTCCGGGTTATAGTGGGGCAAAGCTCCAACTCCTATTTATCCAAAAAAGAAGAAAAAAATATATATAATTATTGGTGTTGGAATGCATTGTTAACTAAGTTAGTTTCGAACGTACCAGTCGTAGTCTCTAATTCTGTTTAGTTCTACATTTTAAAACAGCTAAAGGCAGGGAAGCTTCTTTCAATTCGGCAAGACTTTCCTTCTTCTCTGCTATTTGTGAGGAAGGGGAATCTAGCTCTAGAGAAACCTTGAAAACATACACTTGCTTGTCTGAAGCTCCGCAAACCTCAGCTGATGATCTGTTAGATTTGGATGAGATAGAGGTTAGCCCTTTGCTATGAACTTCACTCAACACCCACAGTTTCTTGCACTTGGTGGGATGTATCTTATATGTTATTGTGGGTCATTGCTCTTGTCTTTCAGATAAACAGTAGAGCAAGACCACTCAGTCATTTTCATTACGGGATAAAAAATACTGGGCCATCCAAGATAGAGGACAATTTTTCTTCCTGTACAAGCTTGCCTACTGGCAAGGCGTCACATTTTGGTATGTTAATGGAAAACCTTGATGTTTTGGAGGAAGCTTTTACTGAATCAGGCATGCTAAGCTTGGAAAGAGACATTGTGCTGCAACTAACAAAACTTGGAGCTTTGGAGTTTTTTAATACCTGTCTATCTAGGACTCTTAAAACCTCAACCTCAAGTTTTCTGGATTTGTCAGACTTACCCATTGAGGATGGTGGAGGTCATAATGTTAACCAGAAAACTGACCGCCAGAATGATGACATCATAGTTTACTCTGGGAAAAAAGTAGGAAGAAGATCAATAAAAGAAAGAGCACGGGATAAGGCTGATAAGGTTGCTTCCCAGCCGCCAGCAACAGGAGCTGCTAAAGAAAAATTTCATAACTCAGCTAGATTTCCAAGAAAAAGAGTGTTTAATTCTAGAAGAAGAAGACTGATGGTTGCGCGAAATGAAGCTGAAATGTCCACAGGGGTTAAGGTTGATTCATCTTTGATATTCACACAACCTCTTCTTTTCAATACTCATTAGGCTAAGCTTGTCTGATTGCAGGTAGTTGCAAATTTAGAAAGAATTAGAGAAACTTTAGAAAAGGAATCTGAAAAAAGAGCAAGTATGAGTTGCTGGGCTGATGCTGCTGGCATTGATATAAAGGACCTGCATAAACAGTTGCAATTTGGTTGGTTCTGCCAGAATGAGCTTTTAAGGAGCACTAATTCATTAGTTCTATTTCTTGCAAAGAAATATCGGTGCACGGGGTTACCAATGGAGGACTTAGTTCAGGTCTTTTCAATACTATTCTTTGAGAAACCTTATTTCTTTGAGTCTCAGTGTTTGTGTATATGTTTTTTTTTTTTTTTTGATTGTTGTGTTTTGGACAGAGAATATATAACATTTCTTCCCTTGTTTAATCCTTAATAATACAAGATCAATTTCCAATGCTAACATGAACTGACTTAGCTTAGTGGTTAAGCCACCTTGCTCATTCCTTAGAGGTTGGAGGTTCAATCACCCACCCCCGTCGTTTGTTGTACTAAAAATAAAAAAAAAAATAAAAATTATCTATCTCAAGTGACAATTTTATCTGGTAGTGAAACACAATTTCTAGGACTATCTAATTCTCAATGGAGTGTTCATGTCAGCATTGTGTCAACTGTTAGAAGCAGTTCTGGTTTAACCAATCACCAAAGAGATGAAAAGCAGATGATGAATTTTTCAGCTTACCATAAACTTTGCAAAAAATAAGACAAGGATCACATTGCATTATTAATTATTTTGTCAAATTGATGCTTAACAAGGAATTTGATGTCAACATATGAATATGTTCTCCAAGTAGGGAAAATGCAAGAGGATATGCATCTTGATGTTTATATTCTCATATATGCAGGCAGGAGCCATTGGTGTTCTGCAAGGTGTGGAAAGATTTGACCCTAAAAGGGGTTTTAGATTCTCGACCTATATCCAATACTGGATAAGGAAATCAATGTCAAGAGTTGTGGCGCGAAACTCAAGGGGAATTCAAATTCCAGTATGACTATTTTTTTCACCAGGACGCTCTTTTTCATAAAATTTTTCATATTCATGTAGAACTGACCCATCTTTATAATTCTTTGTAGTGGTCATTAACCAAGGCAATAAATCAGATACAGAAAGCTCGAAAAGCCTTGAACAATGGCAGTAGAAGATATTCGGATGACGATATAGCAAAGGCTACTGGTCTACCTTTGGCCAAGGTTAGGGTTGCTAGCAACTGTTTGAAAGTTGTGGGTTCTGTTGATCAGAAGATGGGTGATGGACTAAATATGAAATATATGGTATGACTCTCTCTCTCTGTCTCTCGCTTTGTCTTCCATACACGGATATCCTTTGCTCCCCTTCTTCTTTGAACTTCAAGACAAATCTGGGCCATTTGTTGTTTATTTTGTCTTTTTCCCTTCTCATATTGATTAGTGGAGGGCTAGAATTCTGCTTTCTGAACTCTGAAGTTAGTTCATCTAAAGTTTATATATCAGTTTCAAAATTGGCAAACTCCAACTGGTGAATTTAAGCTAGTTTAAGAGGAGCAAGTTAAAAATATTCCGACCTTACTACCAACGTGAGAAGAGGATAGCTCAGTTTGATACCTACTCCATCCCTTGAGGTCAGATGTTCAAACCCCCTGCCCCCAATTTGTTGTACTAAAAAAAGTCTTGACCTTACGACTTTACTTTCTACCGTAGGAGAAAAAATATTGAGAAAGATTGTGCCTTACAGATCACAGGTTTAAGGTTACAAATAACAAATGTCTATGAGAATTAATTTTCAATACGTCATGTTCTTTAAACATGTTATGACTTATGATGCAGGAATTTACAGCAGATACGTCAATACAAAGCCCAGAAGAAACCGTGAAGCAGAAACTAATGAAGAAAGACATCTTTAATCTTCTTGAAGGCTTGGAGCCAAGGGAGAGGCAGGTCCTGGCACTGCGATATGGACTTCAGGATTTCCAACCCAAGTCACTTGAGGAAATTGGGAAACTTTTGCACGTAAGCAAGGAGTGGGTTCGAAAAATCGAAAAGAAAGCCATGACAAAGCTGAAAAATGAAGAGACTACGGGGAATTTGTGCCATTATTTGGATTGATATACTTCTTTCAGCATGAGAAACTCCAGTATTTTCTAAACTTGCAGAAGGCCAAGGAAGCCTAGGTTCAAACTGCTCTTTCATGCCATACTAACAAAGTTAGTCACAAGAAAACACGATGATGGTCCAAACGAGATATCTCGTTCCTCGACGACTCTCACTGAGTAAAGAATTCTGTACAGTTCCATACATGATGCATTACATGCCAGCCTCTGTACTGCTGAAACATCGACCCATCTGCTCACTGGTTCGTGTTTTTTTGATGTAAAATCTGATGTTCTATATTCCCATCATGCATTGATGAGGCTTTAGATAAAGATTGTTATCCTAGGTATGGCCAAACCTTCCATGTATATGTATATGCATATAGCAATTTTAAACCTATAGCTCCACATATATGACAATATTTCATATGCAGGGCAATCCATGCCACTTTGTAGAGGTGTATATCTGGAGGAGCATAGTTGATTTTATCAATACAGATTTTCTTTTGGCTTTGTGTTCACATGTGAATTCAGACCAAGTTCATGCTTTTGTTTTCATTTCTTTATTGAGAAGAAACTTGAGGGGTTATACAATACTTTTCTTTATTGAGAAGAAATGGACAAAAGAAACAGTGAATTGAAGAGAGAGGAATCTGTTTTGTTTGACAACTTTGGTAAAAGCATACTTTTGCTCAAGTCATAATTGAATGCTATAATTTATTGTCATCAACGGTCTTTCTTGGCGAATGGGGAAAGCTAACACCAATTTAGATTGAAGATGCCAATTTGTATACTACATTCTAAAGATAAAACAAGAATTTTAAACATATCCATATCCAAAAGCAATGAATTTTCTATTAGTTTTAATATGATATTTCCCCGAAACATAGAATATGACGATAGCTATTCTAACTAAGTGTCAAAAGCGTGCCACGTCAAACTTTAAAGGGTACTTGGATTGTTGGTTTGGTTTAAGATGTCGAACTAATTTTGTCTCATAAATATATTAAGCTTGATTTTGTTATTAAACTCGTGTTTTATACACTCACACCACCAAGACAGGTTTAATTAAACTTTAAACCGTTCACTATAACTCAACCTAAATAGTTTAGTGTTTAATGACGAACCCGCACCCCAAATATGTACGGAAATAATATATAATTTTAACTAAAAATTTAAAAAAATATCCAAAAAAATTATTTGTTGTTGTATTTTACAACCCATGTGTGGAGGTAAGCTAGCAATATTGTTGTCTTTCCAAAATTTACACACGTCTACTCGCTTTCACTGCCTGCGCGACTGTCAATCAACGATCACCGCCAATTCTCTCGCAAAAGTCACCGGGTCGCCCATCAAGTTCGCTCACAGACCATTCACGTATCGCCATTCCGTTGAAAAAAGTCAATGACATTGACCACGGACCTAGCTGTCTCATTTTTAGTGGGCGGTCACGGAATTCCGTCCTCGCCTGGAACATCTAATTACAGCCCTTCCCGTAATGAACATCTCGTCGTCTGAACCTCACCACGCGACACCACCGCGCTTGAGAAACACTCGCGAATTTTTTCGGAGCAGAAAACGACCGAAAGCGATGGTTCCACTGCACGACGCCGTTTTACGAATTACGAATTGGGCGAGTGGTTTTAACGCGCTTAGGACAGGGTAGGGTTAATTATTATTTAATGATGAAGGTGACAAAGTATCACGATTAACCTCCACACGTGCCAGCTCCCGCGCGGGAAAAGAATAAAAAGTCAAAAAAGAAAGTTGACTATAGAGCATAACCAATGAAAGAGTGACACGTGGGCGAGCTCATTGAATTGAAGCCGCTTTAAAACATTTCTCTGTCATTAGTCGTCCCGGAAATAAGTAAAGGCTCTTTTTTCCCCAACCTTCCTCTCTTCTAAAAAACCTCAATCTTACCTTCTCTGTCTGTTTTGTTGCAGTTTGTGCAGAGCGATTTTTAGGGTTTTCAGAGGAGGGGTTTTTTTCTTCTTCTTCTTCTTCAATTTCTACCAACTAAGCGCATGCAGCAGTTGAATTTCATGAAATTGTCTTAATGGTGGATTTGGTTTTGTTCGCAATCGCATTTGCTAATTCAGCTACCAATCCTTATACCCTCTGACCTAATGACTTTTGCCAGCAGTGAATGGCTCGATTCCACTCTCGCACTGTTCGTTTCTCCATTTTTGTTGCGTTTGTAGTTCTTGTGGGAGAGCCTCACTCTGTCCTATCATCCACGGCCGATGAATTTTCCATATTCGATTACGATGCGCTTCTTTTCCACCAGGATTACTCCCCGCCGGCCCCACCGCCACCGCCGCCTCACCCGCCTTCGGTCTCGTGCACCGGTGATTTAGATGGCGTTGGCTCGCTGGATACTACATGTCAGATTGTCAACAATTTGAACCTCACTCACGACGTGTATATAGCTGGGAAGGGGAATTTTCAGATTCTGCCTGGGGTGAAATTTAATTGTCCTAAACCGGGGTGTTCGATTACCATTAACATTACTGGCAATTTTACGTTGAGCAACGATTCGTCTATATTTACCGGGAGTTTTGAGTTGGCCGCCTCTAATGCTAGCTTTCTCAACGGGTCTGTGGTGAATACGACTGCTTTAGCTGGGAATCCGCCGTCGCAGACTAGTGGGACCCCACAAGGTATTGATGGGGCAGGTGGGGGACATGGAGGGAGGGGAGCATGCTGTTTGACGGATACAACTAAGCTTCCCGAGGACGTTTGGGGAGGTGACGCGTACTCATGGGCGTCTCTGCAGAAACCTTGCAGTTTTGGGAGCCGGGGTGGTTCAACGAGCAAGGAGGTAGACTATGGTGGAAAGGGTGGCGGGAAGGTGAAGTTGGACGTCGAGGACCTTCTTGTAATTGATGGGGTCGTTCTGGCCGATGGGGGTGATGGAGGGACAAAAGGAGGAGGTGGGTCAGGTGGCAGCATCTATATCCTTGCTCACAAAATGTAATTATCAATCACTCCTCTGTTTACGTACTTTCTATAATTTCAACTCGTTTTCACATCAGCATAGCGTATATCCTCCTATTTGATTGATTATTGATGTTTTGATGGGGCGAGAGTTATATGAGTCTGTTTTCTTTTTGATAGTGAGAATACTTGAAGGATAAATTCAGCTAGCTTCTGATTCGCCATTTAAAAAAAAAAATCTGGTTATTTTTTGTTTTCATAAAGCATGGACATGGAAAATAATTGAATATTAAAGTGTTTTGCTTGTGAAGAACAGGATTGGTGATGGAAGGATAAGTGCATGTGGAGGCAATGGATATGGTGGAGGTGGTGGTGGAAGAATCTCTGTTGATGTTTTCAGCAGGCATGATGACCCAAAAATTTTTGTTCATGGTGAGAAGGCATTGGTGAACTTGAGTGTTGTATTCGTTACAAAGTTGTGGAACATGTTTCAAACTCATATGCAGCATCTATATTATAATACACATACACACACACACACACACACGCACACTTATATGCATGTTTATGTATGTATGAATTTTGTTGTTCAATCCACCCTTCCACTTCTTGTTAAGATTAGTATAAGAATTGGAATAAAGGTAGTAAAATTTACACAGTGAAAGAGTTGAGACTTGGGAATGTTTGATTTGACTTTTATATTCTATCAATTTTTATTATTCCTTCCCATTTCAAGCCGTTATCTATTGTGACTATTCTCTAATTTTTGAAGAAACAACATTTCATTCAATTATTAAAGTATTCAATCCTATACAAAAAGGTTAAAAGTTTTTACAGTGGAGTGGGATGGTATATCCTACCATATCTTAAAAATGTGTGTTGTATTAATGCTCGAAACTTGTTTAAAACAAAACCCAATATTTCTATCTACTTGGGGGGCTGGCTGTATCATACATACCTGTATAGAGAATGGATAACTGAAACATCCTGCTTGAGATTCTCCTTGTTTCCACTTTTTCCCTTGATTTAACTCTTCCTTTGAGAAGGGCTTGCTTCAGTTTCTAGACAAATCTTCCATCACTTGACAATGATGTTTGGTCCCCATTTCCCCTTCTTTGTGGTGTTCAAAGCCGTGTTTAACTCTTATTGTTTTCCTGAAGTTTAGCACGAGTCAATGAAGGAGATTAGATTGACTTCTTTTGTCTCTCTGCAACAATTATTTTCTACAATAATTATTCAGTACTTGGGAACTTATTTATTGGTTGTGATTGTGACAATTGCTTGTTTGCAATGCTCCTTTGATTGCTTACTATGGACGGTTTCTTGCACCATGTCTTTATGTGTCAATTCATTTTGTACCAGAGCTAAGCAATTGCCAAATAAATGTTATTTCTGTAGGGGGCCATAGTTTGGCTTGTCCGGAGAATTCTGGTGGTGCTGGAACTCTATATGATGCTGTTCCTCGAAGCCTTACAATTTCCAATAATAATTTGACAACAGATACAGACACACTTCTTTTGGAGTTTCCCAATCAACCACTTATGACAAATGTTTATGTTCGAAATAATGCTAGGGCTTCTGTTCCTTTGCTCTGGAGTCGTGTCCAGGTTTGTAATTAACCTACAACACAGTTTAGAATGTGTACAGGCATGAGAATCTGGATATGGAGAAATGGTACTTTGCAGAATAGTACGGACCATAGATAGTCATAGATAATCTAGTGTCATTCTGTGCATGCCAAGTTTTTCAGTCGACACATCTGATATATATTTTTTTCATCCCTCGTGGTTATGTTGTTATGAGCTCTATTAACAATTTCAATCTTGGTTCTCAATATTACCAACTAGGTTCAAGGTCAGATTAGTCTTTTATCTGGTGGGGTTTTAAGTTTTGGGTTGGCGCACTATGCCTCATCAGAGTTTGAGTTATTGGCAGAAGAACTTTTAATGAGCGACTCAGTAATCAAGGTAACCTTTTTTTTTCTGTGTCTTACAATTATGTTATGCATGTCTGCAGTACTTTTATTCTTCATCTGTTCCTGAATTAGAAATGGGAACCAATGTTTCTCATGGTGAAACCTTTTTGTTTCATGCATGTGTCAGTTTGTCTTCATTTCTCTCTCTTTTCATTTTTTAGTATGGTATTTTTTGTTGTGTCATGTGTGCTTATATTTTTGTCTTATTGTCAATTTTCAACTTGTTAAATGTGATGTTCTCAAACCTTGTGATGGTGTGTGATGGTTTGCCTACACATGCACGCACACAACAGTGCAGAAAGAATCATTAGTATAGTTTTGTATTAATCTGAAACATGAATACCTTGAAAATGGGTAACCAGGGGGATCAAGAACCTTGACACTCTCCTGCTAACATCACATAACTGTACGACTCTGCAAGCCAACTCTATTTATTATCCTAATTTATAAACCAAAGCTATCTTCCACCATTTTGAGTTAAAGATTCTGCTCACTGAAGTTTTTCCTTTTTCGGCATTGAAAGTAGGTGAACTGCAGCATTGTTTTAATATTATATATTGTGTTTTATTTATATGCTTGTCGTATATAAAATTAGGGAAGTCTAAGTTTAATTTATTTTTGGCATTGAAAGTAGGTGAACTGCAGCATAGTTTAATTTCTGTCTCTTTTCATAGTTTTAATATTATGTCTGTTGTATTCCTTTTCATCTTATTTCTTGTTAAAAATTTACTTGCGCTGTGATGTGAGAATAATTGATCTACAATTCCAGGTATATGGGGCACTACGCATGTCAGTGAAAATGTTTTTGATGTGGAATTCTAAAATGCTCATAGATGGAGGTGGAGATTCAGGCGTTGTAACATCCTTGCTTGAGGCTAGTAACTTGATTGTTCTTCGGGTAATTTAATCTTAACTTCCTTGACATTTCTTTTTTGTAGCCTTCCATTTTAAGGCATCTCATTGTTTTATTTTTGATATAGGAATCATCTGTTATACATTCTAATGCTAACCTGGGAGTCCATGGACAAGGTTTATTGAACTTGTCAGGTCCTGGAGATTGGATTGAAGCACAGCGTCTAGTTCTGTCTCTATTTTACAGTATTCATGTAAGTGGCATTCATTTTACTTGTTAACTGACTATCATTTCTAATACTTATCGTATGTCATAGTTTGGTTAGTTGGATCAAGTATGAACTGGTTACTCTTAAGTTTTTTTAGATAAGAAATTATTTCATACGTGATATGAAATCATAGAAGAGGTGAGGAAAGCCAAGTCCCATGTCAGGAGATTACAAAACAAAAAAAAAAACTCTTCCAATTGGCAAAAAAAAGTATTTATACTCTACTGTAATTGTTACAAGGAGAAGAAAAATTTTCACTAAGAGAGGCAGCAACAAAAGATAAAACTAGAAGTGTCTAGAAAACCGTCTAAAGGGTTTCTCCTTGTAGTACATACTGTTCCTCTCAAGCCAAAGGATCCATAAGAAAGCCCGAGTGGAGTGAATCTAAAGAAGAAAATTTATGAAGTTACGCCCAAAATCTCATATTTATGTAATAGGCTAGATGCTTCCAGAAAAATTATGAAAATGTTGAAATGATTGTATATATGATGCTTTTGATGAGATTAGAAAAGAATGGTGTCATTTATGCAAACAGTAGATGATGGATGGAAACTCACTACCACCCACACTGAAGCCCTTGATAAAGAGGATTCATGGGATAAAAATCTGTTGAGGTCGTTAACAACATTGATGAAGAGGAAGAGATAATGATAATATATCACATTGTCTATGCCCATTGCCCAGGGTTGCCTGTATTGCCTCTTGGTCTACCTGATAATGATGTGTAATTAACACTAGAAATATAAGCGCATATCCATTCTTCCCCACGGGGGCCAAAGCCTTCGGCAAGAAGAATCACGTCTAAGAAATCTCAGTCTACTTTTGAAATTGATATTTAAAACTACTCATTGTTCTACCTTCTGGTGAGATTAATACAAAAACCCTTGATGTCTCTCGGGTTTTGGGCCGGCGTGAGTGCCTCTGGGTATAAGGGAGCAAAGTTCCGACTCCCAGTTATAAAAAAAGAAAAAAGAACTACTCATTCTTCTTCCTCATGCACTCATCTATAAGCTTATTAATTATGAGTGGAGCATCCAGAATCTATCTACCTACCATAAAGTTGGATTGATCTTTGGTAATTGTGTATGGAAGAACTTCTTTGAGTTTTTATAAAAGAATTTGGGGAATGATTTTGTATATGCAAGGAATGCAACCGATAGGTCTAAAGTCTTTCATAGTTTTTCCATATGTCTTCTTTGGAATAAGGCAATTTTAGATCTCATTCAAGTTAGCATTGATGATATTGTTTTTTGAAAAAATCATGGAACACCCTCAATTTGTCGTCTTGAGAGTATTCCAAGATTTTTTATGGAATTTGATTCTAAAGCCATTTGAACTTGGAGTTGATGATATTTATAACTATATCTGTGTGAAATCAGCCTTGAGTTAAAGATTATGCTTAGAAGAGATTGGACGCCAGGTACCGATTTAAAGGATTGTCCCTTTTTTTCTTTTTTGATAAGAAACAAAATATGTGTATTCAAATCAAGAAGGCCCCTAAAGGGGATACAAACAAAAGGTAGAGGGTAGAGCTAACCCTCCCCAAAGCTCTATACAATCACCGCTTTCCAATCTTGTGTAAGCAAAATAAGATTGTAGTTACAAAAAACTTTCTTGTGTAGTAAAGCCCACCAAGAAGCTACATGCTTAATATTCACACAAAAAGAATCTAACAAAATCAACTTATCTTCAAAAAGCCGACTATTCCATTCCTTCCATATTGACCATAAAAGAGCCCGGGCAGCACAATTCCAAAGAACCCAAGCTTTGCCCTTGAGCTGCCTTCCTCCATACCCTTCAGCAATGAAATCCTCAATTCTTCTAGGAATACAGAGAGAGAAATCTAGCAAAGAAGCTATAAACCCCCAAACTTTGGACACAAAAGGGCAATGGAGAAAAAGGTGGTCCACTGTTTCATTGTTGCTCATACACATTGTGCACATAGAGGGAGAAAGAGTCCAATGAGGTAATTTCCTTTGAAGTTTCTCCGCTGTATTTACTCCTCTATAGAACAAAGTCTAAATGAAGAATTTTACCTTCTATGGGACTCTAAAATTCCATATCAAGCTTGCAGTAGCTGAATTAAGTTGAGGAGAAGGGGATGTGAGGGCCATGAAGGCTAAATTGACCGTGAAACGGCTGGATGGGTCCGCTTTCCAGCATAAAATGTCCCTTCCATTTCCGATAGTTGCACCTTCTATTTTTCCAGTGAAGTTTGCCATCTACTCATTTCCCTTTCAAAGAGATTCCTTCTGAAACCAAGATTCCAGGTTGAGGCCTCTGTACATCAACAATCCGCAATGGACATACCTTTCTTGGAGGATAATGCAAACAAGTCCGAGAAAGTGGTGGAAAGAGGGGCAGAATCAATCCATGGGTCCTCCCAAAATCTGACTTGAGCACCCGAGGATAATTTGAAGAAGGAGAACTTTTGAAAAGCTCTAAGGTTCCCTTGTATGTCCCTTCCACGGTCTTCCGATAGAAGAACCACCCAAAGGTTTTGTCCACCAACCAAAAGACTCCACACCGTAAATAGTGGCTATCACCCGTCTCCAAAGACTATCTTTTTTCACTGTGAATTGCCATAACCATTTCATTAAAAGATCATTGTTCCTTAGCCTCAAAGAACCAATTCCAAGGACCCCATGTTTATGAGGCAAAGCCGACCAAGACCACTTCACCAAATTCCCCACCGATCTAGAAATCCCATCGTTCCATATGAAGTCCCGCGTAAGCTTCTCCATAGACTTTATGATTGTCTCTGGAGCTTTGAGAATCGAAAAGAAGTATACGGGGAGGGGATGCTATTGAGGACCGATTGAGCAAGAGTAAGCCTACCACCCTTGGAAGAAGCAAAGAACTCCATTTTTGGAGTCTTTTGTGCATTTTGTCTACCACTGGAGCCCAAAAACTAGTGGTCTTGTGGTTCCCTCCGAGGGGGAAACCCAGATAATTAAAAGGGAAAGAATCCATCTTGCAACCAAAAGAGGAAGTCCAAGAGCTAACCTCTGACCTTGTGCAATTAACACCAATCACAGTAGTTTTTGAGACATTCAGAGAAAGACCCGAAGTCAATAAAAACACATGAATGAGACCCCACCAATTCTCCATTAATTGAGCTGAAAAGGGGCAGAAAATGATTGTCCCTCTTTTTTTGGTAGTATAGCCACTTTAGGAAACCTACAAATTCTTATTCAATATCTGGGTTACAGAAAAGGTTTTCTCCTTTCAAGGAGAGAATTCCATAAATTGAGCTTTTAGATTCCGCTTGAAGCTGTAATTTGATGGAAGGCCCCCTTATTTTAGTTGCAAGGGAGGCGGGCTTCTCTTGATGGAATCTCTTTTTTATATTTTGTTTACAAATCATGACTGAGTGATGAGGATTCCAATAAGGCGTCAAGTTTCTGTTAGATATCACAAAGCTTGTTGTTTAGTGAGAAAATGCAGCCAAAAGTTTCCTTGTTCCACGACAAAAGAACTCTGTTGAGACCCTCCAGCTTTTTCATTAATCCATGATCCAACCATCCATATAAAGGAGTATCATTTCACCAGTTACGCTAGAGATGACGAACTTTGGTAAAGAGACCACATATTCTCAAATCTAGAAAAACAGGAGCTCCATTTGATCTCACCGCATTCTAACATAATAGGAAAGTGGTTTGAGGATCTTTCTAATCTCTTGGCATTGGTGAATTCACATTACATCTATATAAAGCCAAAAATTTCACTGAGGGACAGAGAGCTGTTCTTTGAGACTTTGCCAAGCAAAATGGCCGTTTTTAAGGGAAATATCATTGAGGCTAGCTCAGCAATGGTTTTCTTTAAAAGTTGCTTACTTTTATAGCTGGTTTGCCGGGTGATTTCTCCCAATACTATCCAGAAACATTGAAATCAACTTAAAGAATTTAATTTGACACATAAGAAAGAGACTCTATAGTTCCTGTTAGAAGGAAGGTTTGTAGGGCTGGCAAGGTCTGTAGGAAGCCTCTTAGATAGAGGGTCCATACATGCCTGTAATCCAAACATTGAAGCCATAGGCCAAAGTAAAGAGACAGAAAAAGTACCTTCAATCATGTTGGAAGGTTGCATGATCCAAATATGCCTGTGATCGAAAGTTTGAAATTTTCTCCTGAAAACACATCCTTATTCTCTTCGTAATGTGGAATAGGAAAAGAAATGGCAGGTTGTGTTTGACTGTACTTTTTAATGTGAATCACCTATCTTAATTGTTATTGAATTTTTTTTTTGCCACAGTTTGTTGATTAGTTGTAAAAGTCCATTGGTTATTGATTCTGATTAGATCTGGCATGGCAGAATGCTATAAATGGATGCAAAAATTGTTTTAAAATCGAACACCATGCTTATCATACTTAAGTTGACAACAAAATATTACCAGCTTTATGTAATTATTCTACTGTAGTGAATAGATCCAAGTCCCATTAAATTGTTGTTTCTTTTTCATAGAAAATAAATAAATAAATTGTTGTTTCTTGTTCAATATACTAGAAGAATGTCTCAAGTATTTAGCAGAGTTGATGACTCTTGATCATGAAAAGATGCTGTAGGTCCATCTCTGAAAGAATTCCTTGCATTTCCCGGTTTCTCATCAAGGGTCTTTTAAGGACAGTAGTGAATAGTTCTTTAGAATCCTCTTCTATTTCCATAAGATGTTGCCTCAGTCTACAACCTTCCATCCTTGCAAAGTTGCAAGTAATGTTGTCAAGTATATTATTTTATTAATAGAATTGTTAACTCCCTTGTTTACTTGATGATAATCATTAGCGAGCCAATGGAACGAAAATACTTAATGTATGGCTTTAGTAGGTTTATGGTTTTTATGTTTGGTTATTAATTTGGTTATCTATTTTGAGGGAAAAGGTTGGTCCTGGATCTATTTTGCGAGGCCCAGTAGATGATGCAGCAAAAGATGCAGTGTAAGTTTGCTGGATTCTTTTGTTTCTCTTTTACATATTTTTTCCTTCTGAACCTGCTAATTTCAATTTTCACTTCGTTAGGACTCCTAAGCTCTATTGTGAAGACCAAGAATGCCCTATTGAACTATTCCATCCGCCTGAAGATTGCAATGTGAATTCTTCACTATCTTTCACTCTCCAGGTGCTTATCGGAATGTATTGGAGCATGCCATGGGATTTTATATTTCTGTATTGATGTGATGCTTATATTGGTCGGCTTTTCAGATTTGCAGAGTTGAAGATATCACTGTAGAGGGTCTTATCAAAGGTTCGGTGGTTCATTTTCACAGGGCAAGAACTATATCTATCCAGTCTTATGGGATGATCAGTGCATCTGGGATGGGTAGGTTGACTTTTTCCTTACTTCTCAAAGGTTCTCCCATGTCATGTGTTATTGTTTATCACTTATCATTCATTTATTTTGCTTTGGTATGCACTCTCCCACTCGCAAACCTGAATGTTTGGTACTCGATGAGTTAATTTTTAAACTTTAAATACTGTGATAAACAAACTACAATTATATATTAACTGAAAATGTGCTATTATGTTTCACATTGGAATTTTAATTTGTGTATGACTTAGAGGCATATGAGAGCCTGTTAGAGTTGTAAGAGGGAAATGTTATCAGCAAGTGGAATAAGGAAAGAGGGCAAGAAGTATCATAGAGAGTCTTGCATGAGGTTTGCTCAAGTGGAAGCTTCTAGGTTCATCACACTACTTCGAGAACTATCTACTTGTATTTCTTTGTTCTTTCTGGTCATTTGGATACTTTTGTGGTTTGAAAAGCTGTTCTTGTCCATTGGTATTGACAAGAAGGCCCCCAACTAAGATTAATTACTTCTGGAGAATAATTACCAAATTATTACAAAGCCACACTGCCAATAATTTTTTTTAATGATTTTTTATTTTTATAACTTGGAGCTCCTCCGTATCCAAGGGCATCCGCGCCCACTCCAAGGCCTAGAGACATCAAGTTTTATGTTTTGCTAATCCATCTTCTTGCGCGAGTTGTTCTTCGAAAACCCTTTTGTTTCTTTCCATCAAGTCACTAAAAGTTCTTTAAGGGGTTGTAATCTTTTTTTTTTTTTTAGATAAGAAACTTTCTTAGTATTTGAGGGGTAGTAATCATGGTTAGGTTTGTCAAAATTTGGGTTCAGAAGCCAATGTAGGTATGTGGGTTTATTTATGCTGGGCTACATAAACCTTACCTAACCTTTTGAAACTCACAATTTATACTAGAGACTAACTTTTACCCACCATACCTATTTTATACTAGACACGAGCTTTTACAAATTATAAATCCACTTAGCAAACACATGTTACTCATACCTAGACTTACCAAACTCACATGGACAAGTTACTCAAACCTAGACTTATAACATTCACACTTTATACTACAGAATAACGTTTACAAATTATAATTCCACGGACCAAACACGAAGTTACTCAAACATAAATTTCTATAATGCATTCTTTTACCATTCGGGATTGCCAATCCTAGGCATTATAAGTTCAAACCTATTAAAACCATACTTGAAACATCCCAAGTCAAATGAATACAAAACACCCTCAGTGAATGCCCCTAAACATATTCGTGTGTTCTCATGCAGGTGCTACCCTTGTTTGTAAGAGGCATTGAGCTTTGCCTTGAGGCAAGTCTCAAGACATAAACCTCAAAGGCCTTTTAGAATCATTGGGTAAAAGGCTTAGGTCCTTTGATATTCCTCATCTTTCTATTTTGTTTTTGGGCGGGTGGTATTAATATGGCCCACATGCTTCAATGGAGACACCCATGTAAATTTTTTTTTCCTTGTTTCTGTTTTTGTGTTGAAATGATTTCTGAGACTGAAAGTGTTATGTTTTTCACTGCCTAATTACTTAGAAGCTGTGTTCTTGTTTGGTATTTTCTGAATTCATGTTTGGAGTCTTTGGACAACTCTTTATGACCATACATTGAAATGGATAACCAGATTTAGAAGGAATATGCTAACAAAGCCCCCTTTTTTAATTTTTAGTTTTTCCTTATCACCAGAAGAGTACAAGGAATATTACTATTGACAGTTTTGTATTGGGCACTGGGCTTTACTCAAAGAAAGGGTTTCTAGGTTCTTTGAGTTATCTATACTTCTTCTTTCTGACTTGGAATTTCTGTTATTTTGGTTATTCCTGCCTTCTACTAATTGTTGTATTGGGTTGAAAAAACCATGCTTTCTTTTCTTTTCTCCTCTTTTCTAAAATTACTTGAAATTTTTTGTGATTTCAGGCTGCACAGGTGGCAAGGGAAGTGGGAGTGCCATTGGCAGTGGAATATACAGTGGTGGTGGGTATGGTGGTAGAGGTGGGGAAGGATGCTTTAATAGTAACTGTGTTGCAGGTGGCATCTCTTATGGGGAAGCGGATCTTCCCTGTGAGCTTGGCAGTGGAAGTGGAAATGATAGTTTAGCTAGTTTCTCATCAGGTGGAGGCATTATAGGTGGGTTTATATTGCATGTTTCTTATGTGCGTTGTTTTTTTATATATAAATTAGGGACGACCCGTTTGGCAAGGGCTTGGGGTCTCTTGGTCATATTGACTTAGAAGTCTCAAATTCGAACCTTTGAGTGAACTTAATACAAAAAATCCTTTATATCTCCCAAGTCTGGGCCTTGGGGCAGGTAGAGGTGCTCTCAGGTGTAGGGAAGCAAAGCTCATGAATTTTCCCAAACCAAATACGACGAGTAGTAGGGTCCGGAGCTAAGCCTTTGGCTAAACCCTGTGGGTTCGAATGTAAGAGAAATTCTCGAGAATGTTTGCTACCCTAAATCTTTTTTGTCTTTCCTGGATGACGAGGAGAAATAAAATTGGATCAATAGAAAATTCCATTTTGGAGTGAACCAAAATATGTTATTGCTATGGGTGCATGTACAATTACAGGATGGATGTTCAGTACCAATTTTGTTCGAGGTGTCGAGTAGTAATCATAGAATAGATAGATTCCAAATCGAGTTTTTTCTAAGTGGGGCCTGAATACTATTTATTTAGTACAACAAAGAAAACCCTGTTAAATTAGCTTAACAGCCAAACAACATGCTTCTAGACGTATTTGCTTGATTCATCCTTTTTTTTTTTCTGTTTAAGATAATGTTCCCCATATCGTTTTACTATTTCTCTTATTTGTAGTGATGGGTTCAATAGCGCATCCATTGTCAAGTTTGTCCGTTGAAGGCTCATTGACATCTGATGGAGAAAATTTCAATGGAACTGCGAAAGAGAAAAAGTTGACTAATATTCAAGGCTCTAGTGCAGGCCCTGGGGGAGGGTCTGGTGGAACTATCCTCCTGTTTCTCCATACGCTGGCTCTTGGTGAGTCTGCTATTCTTTCAAGTGCTGGTGGATATAGTAGAGCAGATGGAAGTGGTGGAGGTGGTGGAGGAAGGATTCACTTTCATTGGGCAGACATACCTACTGGAGATGTGTACCAGCCCATTGCTAGTGTGAAAGGAGATATTTATACCTGGTTAGTACATAGCCTATATACTGTTTTATTTTATGCGGGTCCTCCTTAAATTTCTTTTAATGGTACAGGATAGGCATTTGTCAACTTAATTGTTAAGGTATCTCTTTCGTGTAAGCTCATTTTGGATAAAATTGATAATAAGTTTTTTGTTTCTGACAAGAACTATAAAGGATTGGAAAACTATGAGAAACTTGTTCACATCTTTGCTAGATCTTGATGAAAACTGTGATTATGGAAACCAAAGAGAAACTGGTTGGATGAGTTGGTCTGATTGGTAAAGGGATGATGCAAGTGTCATCCCTCCTTGAAGAAGTAGATATACCATCCTGATTAACCCGGAAAACTCCATAATATTTGAAGCTTCTGGATGTTCTGTTTCTTTTATGGACTTATAGTGCTCATTGCTATTTGTTTTGTAGAAACTAGATCGGATGCCATCTGTTATGTTCATTTCAGCAGTTTTAGTTTCATTTTTGAAGCTGTTCAATGATTCTTTTTTTCCAGTTTAGCACGAGAAAGAAAACCCCCGTTTAAACCATCAATTGCTTGTTCTTTGTAGGGGAGGTGCAGGTGGTGAACAGGGTGGTGGAGGAGAAAATGGTACTGTGACTGGTAAAGCATGCCCTAAAGGTCTTTATGGAACGTTTTGTGAGGTCTGTTTCTATTTCTTTGATGGGTTACGGCCTTCTCTGGTTCGTGATCTAAAAATATATATTTTGTTATTTTGAATTTTACATAGAACGCCACATTTTCTAGATTATTTGAAATTGTTTCAGACAGATTTCCAAAAAGTAAAAAGAATTTAGTAAATGTTGAGAAGTTCTGTATTTCTAGATTCTCCTTTCTTTTTATAAGTTATCGTTTTCAATCTTCTTTTATTCTTGGATAAATATCAGCTTTTTATTGATTTTTTATAATCGAACTTTTACATTATAGAATGAATTTGATCTGTTTGTTAGTTTTTTGTGAATTGGGTTTTAGTAACTAAGAAAATTTTCTAATTTGTATCAAAGGAAGGATATACAATATGATTAAGTTAATTTTTAAGGTTTCATTATTTAAAACTCTAAAATATTTTTGAAAAATGGTAATAATATTTTAAACTTTATAAATTGTGATGACATCTTGCCATAGAACATGGTTTTTAGATTATAAGAGTTTTCCAATTCACTTTGATCTTCTCACTTTCAATGTTCTAAAAACCTTCCAGAATGATTCTACTTTTTCCTATGTATGGATGTTTGTCTCTTGGTATTTCCTAAAGTTGAAAAGATGCAGATAAAATTTAACGAAAAATTCATCTTTTGTTGCAAGCTTTGTAAGTCAATTTTTAACCTCTAACTTTCAATTTCATCCAATTAAACTCTAAACTCGAATATGCTACAAAATTAATACCATATTCAAAACTAAGCCAGAATATTATCCGTGAACCAACCAATAACCACAGAATATTCAACCAAGAAAATGCAGAAAATAAAAGTCACACAGATGCTGCCCAAATCGAGTTATAGAGGTGAATAATCTAGCCAAAAATCAAGCAGGTGAAATAGCACTAAACTTGGCGACAAACTGTCCAAATCCAACATAAAAGCATGGCATGAAAAGAGCCCCTACCTGGAAAATAGCCTAGAGTCTTGTCCAACCATAGCACGAATCACAAAAGAGAAAAAAAAAAAAAACTATCTATTAGTTAGTTGCTGGATTTTGTTAGTCCGTGAGGTTTTTAGTCTCTCCACCATTCTCTCTCAAGTGGATAAATATCTTTCCAGGAATGTCCAGCTGGTACTTACAAGAATGTCAGTGGATCTGATAGAAATCTTTGTCAACGTTGTCCTCCTTATGAGCTACCACATCGTGCCATCTACATACCTGTTCGAGGTATTTTCTTATTCAAGTCTTGATGGTGAGAATTCAACAGAGAATTGTTGCTAATGGATGTACTGTTTTGTGGACTATGATAGTGCTTCTATGCTTGGGTCCAGTGGAAAATGCCATGTTAAATCAATCTATGTATTTCATTCATATAACTTTTATAGATTGGCTATAAGATTTAAGGTTAACATTGTATGTAAGGTCGGTTAACCTCATCTATTTATCTTCATCAGGTGGGATTGCTGAAACTCCTTGCCCTTACAAATGCGTTTCAGATAGATACCACATGCCAAACTGTTATACTGCTCTTGAAGAGTTAATTTATACATTTGGTGGTCCCTGGCTATTTTGTGGTCTTCTACTTGGTCTCCTTGTTCTGCTAGCATTGGTGCTTAGTGTTGCACGGATGAAATTTGTCGGGGTGGATGAGTTACCTGGCCCTGTACCCACTCAACATGGATCTCAAATAGATCATTCCTTTCCTTTCCTGGAGTCATTGAATGAGGTTTTTCTCTGAATGAAACTACCTTTAGCCCCTCAGAAACATCCTAAATACATAAATAAATGTTGTTCCATTGATAAGGTGCTTTATATGATTTAGGTCTTGGAAACAAATAGAGCCGAGGAGTCGCAGAGTCATGTGTATAGAATGTACTTTATGGGTCCAAACACCTTCAGTGAACCCTGGCATCTTTCACACTCTCCTCCAGAACAACTGAAAGAGATTGTGTAAGTAATAGTTGATTTATTGCTACAATGCATTCATTGATGTAAACATATATGCAATATATTACTTTGTTTTTAGCTATCAGTGAAATTACCTCTTATCCAAAAAGTTGCCCATAGCTTTGTGCTATGTTGTTCCTGAATTAACCCTTGAATTCCCCTATTTTGATATTCAGATATGAAAGTGCATTTAATACATTTGTGGATGAGATCAATGGTATAGCTGCGTATCAATGGTGGGAGGGTGCAGTGTACAGTATTCTTAGTGCTCTTGCATATCCTCTTGCATGGTCATGGCAGCAATGGCGTCGAAGGCTAAAATTGCAACGTCTGCGTGAGTTTGTTAGATCAGAATATGATCATGCTTGCTTGCGGTCTTGCCGCTCTCGTGCTCTTTATGAAGGCATTAAGGTAGGTTTGTTTTTATATATATCATAGTATCAGTCAGGGTTGTATGTGGACTTTGAACTCAATGTCTTGCGGTCGTAAGGGACTTATGCCTCCTATATTGTCTCAACAACCTTTCTCAATATAACATGTTTTATGTCCTTCAACTCCATCTGCTGTTGCTTTATTCATTTTTAGATTTTTGTGAGTGTAGGGTGTAGTTAGGCTTGATTTGGAAAGAATTGTCTCGATCGGAGGTACTTTATGCATTTGCAGAGGGTGAGACATGCTATTAATATTTTTTAAGAACGAAAAAGTAATAAATTGTTGAAGAAGAAAACTCTTTTTACATTGGATTGGAGTCTTATTGTTTCAATTTAGCATTACTTTTTGGAGGAGCCTTTTTGTAGCTCCATTGGTTTGGGATACCTTTCCCCTTTTGTATATCTTTCTTATATTTCATTACATTAATGAAAACGTATCCTTTCCCCAAAAAAACTTTTTGGAGGAGCTGTATTTAAAATTTATGGTTGGAACTATAATCTAGGTTGACTAGGATTGAACGGGGAGGGTACAACACTATTTTAACTATATTTTATCGTTGCATATATAACTTCTGGGGTGAGAATATGAATGTTTGATTACCAAATGTGACTCATGTAGCTTGAGTCAAGAATGTGGGATAAGCAGGAAGATAGAGGCTATCAACATACCCTAGTGAATAAGAAAAAGCTAGGCTGGGATGACTCTTCAGGAGGAAGACATTATGCATTTTTTCTTTACCATTCTATTAATCATAGAATTGTCATTGTTTATCTGCCCTTTTCCCTTTTAGCATTATCTTTCATGTGGAAGTAGCTAGCTCAGTGCACAGTGTTTGATATCTGATGATTTTAGCTAAATTTTTGTGTAACTATAGGTCGCAGCAACATCCGATCTAATGCTTGCATTTGTGGACTTCTTCCTGGGTGGAGATGAAAAAAGAACTGACCTTCCTCCTCGTTTGAATCAAAGATTTCCACTGTCTTTACTCTTTGGGGGTGATGGAAGTTACATGGCTTCTTTTTCACTCCATAACGATAATATTCTTACCAGTCTCATGAGTCAGGTTTGCTAATCGAGACTACGAACTCAAGTTCGAGACTTTAGTTGTGTGAATAATCATATTAATAGATTTTTCTTTCTGCAATTCTGATAGATTATGTATTATGATTTGCAGGCTCTACCACCTACGACATGGTATCGGATGGTTGCTGGTCTGAATGCACAGCTGCGTTTGGTTCGTCGTGGTCAGCTTAGATCAACATTTCAACCTGTTGTCAGATGGCTGGAAAATTTTGCGAATCCTGCTCTTGGGAATCATGGCATACGTGTGGATCTTGCCTGGTTTCAGGCTACAGCTTGTGGTTATTGCCAGTATGGTCTCCAAATATATGCTGTTGAAAGAAGCAGACATGAACAAAACGATCCTAATTCATGGTAATATTTTCTTGTAGACATCAAAATTTTTTTTTGTGGTTTTTGGTTTTGATAATTGTCCAACAGACGAGACTGGACTTGTAGATATATTTGCATGTTTCTGGCATACTCGTCGGGTTTACTTTAGTTTGTCTCTTATGTTCTACCACCCTTGGTTTCCAGCGTGAAAAACACTCCTAGAGAAAATCAGTCTGTCCATTTGAGGGAAGAAGCACATTTAAGCCAAGGCCGGAATTCTAGCGAAGGCCATTCAAGGCGAAAGAAAACATGTGGGGGCATTTTAGATGTCAGTAATCTACAAATGCTCGAGGAGAAAAGAGACATATCTTGTCCTCTATCTTATGTACTTCACAACACTAAACCTGTTGGTCACCAGGTATATCTCACTTTGTCTTAACTTTTACTCGAGGTTCACTATGGTTTCAAGTCTTGTGGTAATTTGTGGGCAGGACCTTACATGTGGTGGTATTCTTTTTCCAATTGCAGGATCTTGTTGGTCTAGTCATATCAATGCTACTTCTAGGGGATTTCAGCTTGGTTTTGCTTACTCTGCTCCAGATGTTCTCATTTTCATTGGCAGACGTTTTTCTTGTTTTGTTTATTTTGCCTCTCGGCATTCTTCTACCATTCCCTGCTGGAATAAATGCCTTATTTAGCCAAGGACCTCGACGTTCTGCAGGCCTCGCACGTGTCTATGCTTTGTGGAACATCACATCCTTGTTCAATGTTGTAAGTAACGATCACATTAACTTCCATTTCCTGAATTCAATCCAAACCAGTTTGGTTCACTCACAAGTCATAACTTCCTTCGTCGTTGGATCATCCCATCTGATCCATTTCTTTGCTTTGTTGTCAGTTGGTATCATTCCTCTGTGGATATGTTCACTCAAAATCGTCGAGTTCAAAGCATCCGAGCTTTCAGCCATGGACTATTAGCATGTGAGGGATTTCTTCAAACTAGTTGACTTTATTTTTTTCTTTCATTGGAACACCAAACTGATGCACGATTATGCCCCTGGTTTATGTTTGCACTTTGCAGGGATGAAAGTGAATGGTGGATCTTCCCGGCAGGATTGGTTGTTTGTAAATTTCTCCAATCCCGACTCATTAATTGGCACGTCGCAAATCTGGAGATCCAAGATCGATCCTTGTACAGTAACGAGTTCGATATGTTCTGGCAGTCCTGATGATTATTATTTGCTCATCTTGACAGACTATATTTTCTCTTACCTTGTTTTTTGTCTGGGGAAGGGAAAGTTGTTCGTTTACCACATGGTTTTGGTCATAGGCACTACCATTTCTCCACATACGGCTTCATCATTCACACTCATCACTACTAGAGCAGAAATAGTTAACAGTCTTCTAAGTTTAAACAAAAAAATCCAAAGAAATAGCTTTAAAAAAGTAAAAAGGAGGAAAAGAAAAAAGAAAAAAGAAAGAGGCATTAACAATTGTAATCAAATCCATCTTTTTTTTTATTTTCCCATAAAGACAGCATCTTTCTTTTTTTTGGGTCGTCTCCATTGCTGTATATAACTTGGGATTTGTTATTGTCTTTTTGAATCCCATTTGTGTACCTCTTTCACGACTCTGGGCTTCTATCATTTCTACTCAACCCAACCCACTAAAATATTTACCATTATTTTCCTGTAATAAGCTCAGTGGCTATGGCGGAAAATTGTGCTCTGAAATGAAGTGAGAGATTCTTGTAAGGTTGATTCTTTTTTGGTTTTTGTTTCTCATGTCTACTTTAGCCTCTGAATTTTGAAAAATATAAAAAATAAAATAGCCATTTTTATCTTTAATGCCAATAAAATAGAATACTACCACCTAATATTTTATTTTGATCATCTTAAAACAATGTTAAGCAATGTTTCGAAGCCGAAGTCTAAAAGATCGGTCCAAATCCAACCCGATTCGATCCAAGTTCATCCAATTTGGTTCTTGCATCAATTCGACCGAATATGAATTTTTGTTTTTCTAAATCGGATCCGCCAGCCCATTTAAGTAGTATGTCATATTGGGTTGGATTAGCCCATTTAAGTCGGTATGTCGTATTGGGTTCGCTTGGTTCGGCTCAAAATGATCGATTCAATGATTTTAATATAAAATATAAATGTTAATATATTATTTAAAAAACCTTTTTAACATGTTCATATACAGGTAACTTTGACATTATCAACCCATTTAGTGGGCTAACATCTCAAGGACAATGGGAGAGAGTTCGCCGTAATTGTGGTGATTTTTTTAATGTTAAAAAAATATAAAAACAGAAAACATAATTTTAATTATTAAAAATAAATTATTGAATTATTACCTAAGTGAATTCAAGGCCGATTCTCAACTTTGGCGTTCGAATTAAGATACACATGGACTATGATTACACCATTGAAGGTAAAAAAATTTCGTGTCTGACAAAACTAGTAGTTCATCCTCTTTTTTCTTTTTTTCCTTTTATTTATTTTTTTTGTATTTTGGGTACAAATTTAAGAGTGGGATTTGAAGCGAGTTCAACGTCAACTTATATATTACTAAGAACAGGAAGATCAAAATGAAGAAGTAAGCATAATGGCCACAAAATTCAAACGCCAAACGAACCACTTATAATTAAAGAAGCCAAGTTAATAAGACAGATACACATAATTAGATTACAGCACTCCACAAAAGTCCAACAATTTCAAACCCTAACCCTAAAATCCCTCGCCCCATGCCCCATTCCATTCCCCAATTCAATACTTTACTTATTAGTCGTCTCTTCGGCCTTCCTC